TATATAACTATATATATATATATATACACATGTACGGTTATATATATATATATATATATGTATATACAGGCTATCTATAAGGGAAATATTGTCTAGACTTTGAGAGACTAATGAGATGATTTCTGCGATCTGAGCACGAGATTTAAACAGTGAATTAATTAATAATAATACCCCACGGGACGGACGATATGGAGGAACTGGTTATGAGGAAAGATACGAACGTTTACAGTGAGTCTCAAAGTCCTACGAACACACCGCTCCACATTGCTGTTGTGAATTGCGAGATAGAAACTGTAAAAAGGCTCATTAAAAGAGGTGCTCACGTGAATGCTACAAATGTATATGGAGAAACGGCACTGCACCTAGCCATTCAGGAGAGACACAAAGACATCGTACAAATCCTCGTAGATCAGGGCGCCTATCTCAATTTGAAAAGCGGGTGGGGCGAAACACCTCTTTATTTTGCTGCGCGAGTAGGACTAGAAGAAACTTGCAGGTTGCTACTCGAAAGAGGAGCTGACGTTGATACCCAAAACGAAAATGGTCAAACGGCACTGCACCTAGCCATTCGAGAGGGACACAAAGATATCGTACAAATCCTCGTAGCACATGGTGCCGATGTCAATTTGAAAACTCGGTGGGACGAGACACCGCTTCATTCTGCAGCGCGAAAAGGACTAGAAGAAACTTGCAGGTTGCTACTCGAAAGAGGAGCTGATGTACACGCCGAAAACAGAGATAGAGAAACGGCAATACACCTAGCCATTCACGAGAGACACGACGGTATCGTACAAATCCTCGTAGAACATGGTGCCGATGTAAAATTGAAAATTCGGAGGGGCGTGACACCTCTTCATTTTGCTGCGCGAGTAGGACTAGAAGAGACTTGCAGGTTGCTACTCGAAAGAGGAGCTGACGTGGATACCCAAAACGAAAATGGTGAAACAGCACTGCACCTAGCCATTCGGAAGGGACAGAAAGATATCGTAAAAATTCTCGTAGATCAGGGTGCCGATGTCAATTTGAAAACTAAGGAAGGCCGGACACCGCTCCATTTTGCTATGCGAGAAGGACAAGAAGAAATTTGCAGGATGCTATTCAAAGGAGGTGCTGACGTGGATGCCCAAGACGAAAATGGTCAAACGGCACTGCGCCTAGCCGTTCGGGAGGGACAGAAAGGTATCGTACAAATCCTCGTAGATCAGGGTGCCGATGTCAATTTGAAAACTAAGGAAGGCCGGACACCGCTCCATTTTGCTGTGCAAGAAGGACAAGAAGGAATTTGCAAGTTGCTAATCGAGAGAGGAGCTGACGTAAATGACAAAAATGTAAGTGGATGCACAGCTTTACATTTTGCCGCTGAGCGTGGTCAAATACGTATCATGGAAATTCTCTTGAATTCGAATGTTAACATCGATTCCATAAATGAGAGTGGTCACACTGCACTTCATCTGGCATCCTGCGCCAATCAGTATGAAGCTGTTCTGACTCTCATAGAAAACGGGTCCGACGTGAACATTATTAACAAATACCATCAAACAGCGTTAAACTTATACTGTTTTAAGTACATTATCGTACAAATCCTCGTAGATCAGGGTGCCGATGTCAATTTGAAAACTCGGTGGGACGAGACACCGCTTCAGTCTGCAGTGCGAAAAGGACTAGAAGAAACTTGCAGGTTGCTACTCGAAAGAGGAGCTAATGTGCACGCCGAAAACAGAGATAGAGAAACGGCAATACACCTAGCCATTCACGAGAGACACGACGATATCGTACAAATCCTCGTAGAACATGGTGCCGATGTCAAATTGAAAATTTGGATGGGCGAGACACCTCTTCATTTTGCTGCACGAGTGGGACTAGAAGAAACTTGCAGGTTGCTACTCGAAAGAGGAGCTGACGTGGATGGCCAAAACGAAAATGGTCAAACGGCACTGCACCTAGCCATTCGGGAGGGACACAAAGATATCGTACAAATCCTTGTAGATCAGGGTGCCGATGTCAACTTGAAAACTCGGCGGGACGAGACACCGCTTCAGTCTGCAGTACGACGAGGACGCGAAGAAATTTGCAAGTTGCTAATCGAGAGAGGAGCTGACGTGAATGCCAAAGATAATGGAAAAACAGCACTGCACCTAGCCATTGAGGAGAGATACATAGATATCGTACAAATCCTCGTAGATCAGGGTGCCGATCTCAATTTGAAAAGTCGGTGCAGCCAGACGCCGCTGCATTTTGCGGTGCGACGAGGACGGGAAGAAATTTGCAAATTGCTAATCGAGAGAGGAGCTGACGTGAATGCCAAAGACAATGGCGGAAAAACTGCACTGCACCTAGCCATTGAGGAGGAACTCATAGATATCGTGCAAATCCTCGTAGATCAGGATGCCGATGTCAATTTGGAAACTGAGGGGGGCCGGACACCGCTCCATGTTGCAGTGCTAGGAGGACTAGGAGAAATTTGCAAGTTTCTAATCGAGAGAGGAGCTGACGTGAATGCCCAAAACAGAGAAAGAGAAACGGCAATACACCTAGCCATTCACGAGATACACGAAGATATCGTACAAATCCTCGTAGATCAGGGTGCCGATGTCAATTTGAACACTCGATGGGACGAGACACCGCTTCTGTCTGCAGCGCGAGAAGGACTAGAAGAAACTTGCAGGTTGCTACTCGAAAGAGGAGCTGACGTGGATACCCAAAACGAAAATGGTGAAACAGCACTGCACCTAGCCATTCGGAAGGGACAGAAAGATATCGTAAAAATTCTCGTAGATCAGGGTGCCGATGTCAATTTGAAAACTAAGGAAGGCCGGACACCGCTCCATTTTGCTATGCGAGAAGGACAAGAAGAAATTTGCAGGATGCTATTCAAAGGAGGTGCTGACGTGGATGCCCAAGACGAAAATGGTCAAACGGCACTGCGCCTAGCCGTTCGGGAGGGACAGAAAGGTATCGTACAAATCCTCGTAGATCAGGGTGCCGATGTCAATTTGAAAACTAAGGAAGGCCGGACACCGCTCCATTTTGCTGTGCAAGAAGGACAAGAAGGAATTTGCAAGTTGCTAATCGAGAGAGGAGCTGACGTAAATGACAAAAATGTAAGTGGATGCACAGCTTTACATTTTGCCGCTGAGCGTGGTCAAATACGTATCATGGAAATTCTCTTGAATTCGAACGTTAACATCGATTCCATAAATGAGAGTGGTCACACTGCACTTCATCTGGCATCCTGCGCCAATCAGTATGAAGCTGTTCTGACTCTCATAGAAAACGGGTCCGACGTAAACATTATTAACAAATACCATCAAACAGCGTTAAACTTATACTGTTTTAAGTACAGTCTTATTTATCGCTCCAAGTTTCCCAGTATCCAGCAGTTGCTAATTAAAATGCAGATTGCTATGTTGGACGTGAATAACGGAAATGTGGAGAATTTTAATATCACTACGGATATGAACGAGCAGTTTCTAAAATTTCAGAAAAAATGTATTGAAGAGATAATGAGAATGAAAAACACAAAAATTAACGATACTATCCTAACATTTCATGATATCCTAACAAAACGCGTAGACCAAATAGCATTATACGCGAGAAATGAAGATGTTGTTCAGGTTTTGAAACGGAGCAATTATCGGAGAGAATTTCCTATCTACGAAGACATAATAGAACGTCGTTTCAATAGAGGTATGGTACAAAAGGAGTTGTTAGACGAGGGCGTTACATTTTTCCGCCGTTTCCTCGGTAGATATTATGATTTACTTTGTATTCAAAGAATATTAAACTACCTCAATAACAGGGAGCTAATGAATTTGAGAGATGTTTGTAAAAACGTTTTGTCCTAACATTAACGATGCAACAAAACGGGAAACACTGTAATACTACTTACTATTTTTATACTTGTTCATTAACATTTTGACACTAATAAATAGCCATTTTGACTTTATTTACAATATTTTTTATCTTTCCTTTTCATCCCCTAGCTTCACTTCGCAGCTGTTCTCCATTTCAGTTCGCTTTAGGTAGCCTAGCGGAGGTATAAATTCTTTCCAAGTTGTATTATTAGTTACGAAGTAAGTTGTAAGTAGTGTTACGAGGGAGAACCGTGCCAAGGGTCCGACGGGCGACCGAGTCTATCGACTCTGTCAGGGTGCTTTTTTTAGGGAAGGAAATAGATGCGCGGACAAACCTTGTCAAACCCAGGGCTCGTATAATTTATCCCTCGACCGTAAAGTGGGGGCGACGCGACCATGGTGGGGACTGGTACTTGATGGCTTCACTTCGCGAAGGCGCATGAGGGGAATAGTAGGCGCAGTAGGGATATAGTACTAACATATTAGAAATACGGGCGAAAAAGAGGTTAAGCGAGCCGTGCGGGATAAATTATACGAGCCCTGATCAAACCCTATCTATAGGTTATCCTCGGGAGCCGCAGGACGTGGACGACGGGAGGATGGTCAGTCCCCCTAGCCATTTAGGTAAAAAGGTAATCGGATTGGCAGGTCACCTGTCGTAGATACGTCCCGAGCGGTTAAGACTTATCGGTTGCAAGATAGTCTGGTTATCGAGCTAATTTGGAAATAATCGCTAGGTTACTTACCAAAGGGTTTACTTTCAAAAGATTAAATATATGCTAAACAATTTCGAAAACAAATGCACAATGAAGATGTGAACGTACAACATAAAGGTATACCGTTAATAGACGTAGTTTATTCTCTCACTGCTTTACACGTACAATTGTAAGACCAATTTTAATTCTTACAGTAGCATATGGAGAGGATTCAGTGTCGGGAAGGAACAATAATGAATCAACACCTGTAAGTACGTCGACAATACAAGCTTTATTCTCTCATTACTTTACACGTACGATTCTAAGACCGTTTTTAATTTTTACAGAAGCATATCCAGAGGATCCAGTGTTAGGAAGAAGGAATAATCAATCAACATTCTTAAGTACGTCGATAACACAGCCTTTATTCTTTCAGTACTCTCTCATTATAATCGTAAAACCGTTTTAAATTTTTACAGGAGCATATGCAGAGGATTCAGTGTCTGAAAGGAGCAATAATGAATCAACATCTATAAATACGTCAATATAACAGAGACTTTATCCGTTCAGTACTCTCTCTTTATAATTGTAAAACCGTTTTTAATTTTTACCGGAGCATATGCAGAGGATCCAGTGCCGGAATGGAGGAATAATGAATGAACACCTGTAAGTATATCGATAATACAAGCTTTATTCCTTCAGTGCTTTACACGTACAATTCTAAGACCAATTTCAATTCTTACAGGAGTATATGCGGAGGATCCAGCATAGGAAGGAGGAACAATGAATCATCACGCGCGCGATGCCTGAGTTGGTCGAAGTTAATGTACTACCGAAGGCGGAGGGGCTGATTCGCGATTGATTAAATTGTGTTTTGGTGTTTATAAGAGGACTGATTAAACTTTTATATTTTCACAAAGTACTGTTTTTATTTTTATTACCTTTTGTCTAGCCTTCTTTTTTTACCTTTGATGGAAGATAAAACGAATAAGCATGTTCAACATCAGGCTGGACCGCACTGAGGACAGCACTTGTGGGCTCAAACAGAGCTGTTTTCCCCTTCTGCTTTTGGGAGCTCTACTCCTCGACTATGCACCATTCTTTATGTCCATGGGTCCATGAATGTGCACGTGGTGTAATCGCAGTGTGGTGAGATGATTTAAATCTGATTTATTTAGGTTATTTAGGTATTATCAGAATTCTATACAAAAGAAGAGAACGGTTGACGCATATGAGCTTTTCCGCAAACTTTCCGCCGGTGTAAAATTCGATAAAAAACGTTTTCAAGCTGACGCAGACAGATTTCAGGTAATTTTTGACTACTTTTGAATGTATAAACGCAATGTGATGGATATTTGCTCGTAGCTCGTTAAAGGACATTCAGAATCTGAACTCGACAATGAGAAAGCTCCTGATGTTGATGATTCAGTTTCAAGAAAGAAACGAAAACATGACGAGGTCGAAGAAGAAACGGATTATAAATTTGTCTTCCTTGATGGAATGCTTACCTCTGAAAACAAGAATAAGAGATGCAAATCTTTGACAGAGGAGAAACAGATCAAATTGGAACAAGAAAAGGTTTTAAAAGATCTTATTTACCTTACAATGCAACAAAAATGATACTATGTTCTTTTATTTTCTTAGGTTAATCAGTTTCGCAATGCTAATCGTATAAGTGTCACAGGCAATCGTGTACCTCGACCAATTTCAGAATTTGTTGAACTCTCAACGATTCACAATCTTTCTGATAAATTAATAGATAATATTATCAATTGTGGATACCCAGTTCCTACGCCTATTCAAATGCAAGCCTTACCTGCCATGTTACAAGTAAGACTCATTACACATTCCCATTAAAAAAAAAGATGAAATATACATGTTTGCGAATATTCAACCAGGGTAGACAAATTCTAGCTAGTGCACCGACAGGCTCAGGAAAAACAGCTGCGTTTTTGTTACCCATCATTCATCATTTAGGAGGACCGCATTAGAAAGGATTTAGAGCTGTCATTTTAAGTCCAACGAGAGAATTAGCAAAGCAAATATACAGAGAATGTTTACGTCTCAGCCAAGGATTCGATTTTCGAGTTCATATCATAAGTAAAGTGAATCAAGCATTGAACAAATATGGACCAAAGAGCTCACAGAAATTTGGTTGGTATAACATTTACAGAGAAACAAACTAATATTCTAACACAACAATGATCAAATTTCTCTATTATTATAGATATATTAATCACGACACCAAAAAGGATATTTGTTTAAAAATGGAATAAGTTAATTTCCAAATCGCCTCTCCGATTTGAATTTGATCGTCCGAAAATAATAATATTCTCGGGACTGTATTGAGGTTCCGAGAAAGTCACCGCGATAACAGAAAAACTTGGACACACGTGCCAAGTTGCTTGCCGGCTCGGTCGTTTTTAATGGTCGCGATGTTTAGATTTCGCGACCGGAAAAAGGTCGAATCGGGCAGAGCGCGACGGAGTACGAAAACATGCGCGTGACGTGTCACCTATGTCCGAGTGAGATAGAGATACCTCGCGATCCCCACCTCGCGACGATCGAGGAGAAGGACACTTTCTAAAAGGATCGATTGTTCCGCGTATCGGACTTTTCCGTATTGAGGATTCCCGTGTCGGAGTTTTTACAGTGTCGACGATTGAACGTGATCGACGATTATCACAGTGTCGATTCCAACGTGTCGAGGATTCAACCGTGCGGACCCCAAGAGCTGGTGAATACAGCACCATTCGAGTGTGACCTTCCTGGCGGAGGATACCTTGGCGGACCTCAGACTTGGTGAATACAGCACCATAGAGTGTGACCTGCCCGGTGGATTACGCGTCGGACATTCAACCATGCGGACCCCAATCGCTGGTGAATACAGCATCCTTAGAGTGCGACCTGCACGGCGAAGGATATACC